ATAGTGCTGAATTACATAAATTATTACATCGCCGCATTGGCGGAATCAAAAGTAGCATTCATTCAGAACAGCTTGAAGATAAGATCACCAAACTTGAGCGTAGGAACAAACCCCTCAATCGTCAAACTCCTCGGAGCTATACTCCTCGCCAGTAACTCGTGTGCCAAAATTTAGCGAAGACGATTTGTAATCGCCACTCCCACCCTATGAGCATTGCTTTGTGGAAATTGGATGCAAGTTGGATATAATCAAAAGGAACCTAATAGGCTGGGGTTTCCTATGTATTAGCATATCAAGTACATAATAATAGTTGGTCAAGTTTTAACACCATTCCCACACCCATTCCACCCCATTTCCGTTCCGGAGCCAGGTTTCGATCCTGGGATCGATATACCACCTTCTCCACACCATCACCATACCATCGCTCAGCCGACAGGCCAACTTCCTCTCTAAGCATCGTCTCAAGGCCCGTAGCCCCCGGCCACGTCCAGAACACTCACTCGTGGGGAGAAGAGAAGGACTCATCTCACTATCTAGTTTAAGCGAAACCCAGGAAAGGTCCATAGCCGACAAGTCGGCATATGTATCGATCGATCGATCAACCATACACTCTGCAGAGGTTTTACATAACCACAAGATCCGCCTTCCTCACTGACCGTCATCAACTGGGCTGATTCTGGCCGCTTGCTAGCCTAGGACAATGCCACTCTACCATTCAGCCCTAGTACACCCCAAGTCTAGTCTAGGGTGGTTGAAACTGTGAGTAATGAGCTGGGTCCACAAGGTCTCCATGAAGTCTTGAAAGGGTGTGGGGAAAATCCTCCGCGCCCCGTACCTCCCTCACACTGTCCGCTATCAACCTAGCAGTAGTGGCAATATCCTACCAAGTAGTCCGGTCGCCGCGCACCATATAGGGCGAGTGGTACGTAAGGCTTCCCGGTGAATCTGAGTACTAGTAAGTCCTTAGGGATGACCAAGCCAGAATGTCTTCATCAGGGTTTCCATTTACCGTGCCACCACAGCACCTCCACCCTGGGCTCCTCCCATCACAGTTCACACCTGTGGCCACCTCATATACCATTTACCCACCATGTATCCATTCCGGGGTGCCAGGTAGCATCCCACGGCAAGACTTGCCCTGTGCTCGTTGTGTACTCCAACTTGGTCGACACAACCCCTCCCCTCCACGCACCCAAGTCACACACGCAACACTCTCCCCATAGTCCAGATAACACCAGTTTCCGCCACGCATCAATGTAGTGCAAGCATAGTAGAAGTAATAAGCAATGAAATATAGTAGCAAGCGTGTGACTAGCCTAACAGCAAGGTGAGCAGGGGTAAGGTTGTGTCAAGGTAAAGGCCATCAAGAAAGCGTACTACCATGCAAGTCCTATCATAGTGTGATCATAACAATAAAGTAAAGCACTAGCATTTCTATTTTAGCCATGCGTAATTGGTGCTATGAGATTGGGTGGGATGTGGCACCTTCAGTGTAGTCGTCTTTGGACTCCTCACGGTACTCATGATCCTCGTCCGTCTGGTTCTCCTCCGAGTCTGCAACGATCGCATTATAGTCACGTTAGCGACGTTTATAGAATAGCACAAAGAAGCAATGAAAATTCAAAAGAGCCAAATGCACTCAAACATGGGTTCATTGCGTAGAGCTTGATTTTAGATGAATTTTGGTCTTGGTTTCGTATTTTTCTCAGGTCATATGAATTAGTTATGAATTTCCGAAGTTTAAATCATTTCTAAAAATGGAAAAGGCTGAATTAATCCTGGGCTGACACATGTCACGTTGTGTCTGGTCCACGTGGCATGCTGACGTCAGCATGATGATGTCATTATCTCGGCTCCGAGCTGACAAGTGGGGTCCGTGCTGACGTCATCAACGTCATCGTTCCTGACAGGTGGGGCCAGAGGCTCTTGGGTCACTGACCTGTGGGTCCGGTCAAAGTCAATGAAAAGTCAATGGGCGAGTCAATGGTCAACTGTTCGTAGTCACTGACGTGTGGGGCCAGGGCTGCTGACGTCAGCATGATGTCACCACGGCTATGTTGTAACTGACAGGTGGGACCCGCGTGACGTCGTCATGACGTCAGTATGACGTCACTTACCGACATGTGGGTCCTGTGTCTCTGTGACACTGACATGTGGGGCTAGGTCAACCGTCAACGTTGACCGATCAATGGTCAACACGGATCGGGTCCGAACTGGGCCGGTTGGACCTGGATATGGGCTGGGCTTTGGGCCGGGCTGGCCCGAACACGTGGCGTTCTGTGGCACTGCCATGTCGTAGCCGAGGGCCTCCAATGGGCTTTGTCCACCGTTCGGCCCACACCGTGTGTCTCACGGTGGACTCATGTTCACGGTCCATGGACCGTTGGCTGGTCTTCGGTGGACCGAGTCCACCCTCCTTCCCTTTTGGCTTAGCCTACGTGCACCGAGTGCAGGCGCGTGCGGTCGGCGAGGGAAGCCCTCTGTTTCCATCCCTGGCGTGCTCCTGCCGGTGGTGTGCTCACCGGCATGATCCTACGGCGGCGCTGGTGTTCAATTAAGGTGGGGTAAAGATTCCCCAGGCCATGGCGAACACGATGGTGGGGTCTAGGTGGCGGCCGGGGCTTTCTGGGCGTTGGCCATGGGGTCGGTGGCTTGGTCGTGGCAGTGCTCACCGGCGGGGCAGCTAGGGGCTGTTCCAAGGGTCCTGATGCCCCGTTCCCATTCAGACTGCTAGCAGGCGACCGGGACAAGTGACGACGGCGACCAAAAGATGTGGCGGAGTCCACGCGCGGTGATGGTGCACGGCGGAGCTCAGGCCGAGGTCCGATGCTCGTGGCCGGGGCGCTGTGGTCGGCTAACGGGGTCTCGGTCTACGCGGCTACCCTTCAGGCGTCATGGTGGTGCTACGGCTACGTCCTGGTCCGGCGAGGCGGACTGGTGCGCAAGTGGTGGCATGCGCCATGGCGGCTGGCGCGCGAAGCGCGGCGCTTGCGTGCTCGCCACGACATCCATGGGGCTAGGAGGAGTCTCGGCAGCGAGGGGCTCCTTGTTGGTGTCAAGGCGAAAGGATGGCGGTGCGGGGGGAGGGTCGTGGCCGTAGTAGACGGAAGCAATGCAAAGGCCGACCCGCGTCCGTGATGAAGACGACGGCGTCGTCTTCGGCTCCAACGACTTCGGCAGCACGCGGGTGGCTCCGATCCTCCTCTCCCAAACTCCTTCTCTGCCCTCTTCTCTCGGTGCGGTGCGGGCTGCTGGGCCACCAAGCGGCGGCGGTGGCTGAGGGATCCCTAGGGCTCTGGGCGTGGCTTTATAGCCCCCGGTGCCCGAGCTCCATCTATGGCGGACGGGGCGGACGGCTGGTGATGCGCCATTGGCATCGAACGGCATCGCGGGCGTGGGTGGTTGGCGCGGAGGTTGCGTGGGCGTGGCGCCAAGGGGACAGGGCCAGGAGATTCGCGTGACCCCGGGCCCGCGCCTGTCATTTTGGTCGAGTCACGGTCGGAGGCGGTGCCGGCATGGGGAGGAAGACGACACTGTGGCGGTGTGCGGCTGACGCGTGGGGTCCGATGGCGATGTGACAAAGAAGCGAAGCGGGAGGCGCTTGCTGGGCGTGAGCGTCGTCTTGGCTGCTTGCTTGGGCTGGCCCGCATGAGTTGGGCTGCTGCTGCTGCTGCAAGCAGTAAGCTGGCTGGCTGTCTGCATGCTGGCCAGCAAAGAAAGCCAAGCCAAGCCACCACGGCCTTCTTCCTTCTTTTTCCTTTTTTTCTGCTTTTTTTTTCTTCTCCTTTGTTTGAATTCCAATTTGGTTTGAAATTTGAATTCAAAATTGGTGTACCTTAGTCATTGTAGTTTTAGATATGAGGCCCACAACATTCTTTCATATATATATTAGGAATTTATTTAGCTATTTTGTATAACAAAAATAAGTGTAGTTTTGTTATACAAAAATGGAAATAGTTTTCTCTTTATACATTTATTCTTTGGTTTGAGTAATAATTACTTTATGGTTTATTTCTTTAAAGGTGTTGTTAGACATTATATAAAATAAATAAAAATCAAAATCACCATTTGAGTTGACAATGTATGCTATGTATCATTTGTCAGTATTTAAATAAACATGATAACAAATGACATGCCATGCTCATGAAATTGTTTAGTTGGGTTACTTCTAATGCAACACTTAGGGTTGGCTCCTACAGATGTCACTCAACAATGCATGGGGTAACAGCAAAAAAATTTTGTAGTTGTGATTTTTAGTGTGTGGATTTTTGGGTTTTTACACTTATATGTTGCATTTCTATTATAGGGATGTTAATTGAAGAGTTTGCTGTAAGTTGAAGAGTAGAATTATATCATAGTGATCAATAGAATCAATTTCTATTTCCCACCCTATGAATTTGAGATAGGCTTATTTGTGAGTTTGGAAAAGTTACGGAATGTCAAATTCCAAACTAAATAGTTTAATCTATTAAGTAAATTTCAATTACTCCAAGATGAAGGGATCCAAACGGCCCTTACATTTTCCAAGTTCTCGGGAAACAGCACTTTGCATTATTCAAAACAAGACATTACACTTGCACACTTGACACTTCCTAACAGATCGATAAAAGCGACGCATACATATATGGATAAGCTTAATCCTATAAATAGAACGTCGTAAGCAGACGACGTATATAGTAGTGCTACGTACGGAGTACTACCGATGACGATGACAACGACAATTGTGTTACTATATAGAGTAGGCGACCGGCCAGAGCGAGTGTCCATCTATTCGTGTTTTATTTGCTGCAACAAATTCGATCGTCGTCACGCCTCGGACCAGGTGATGGGCACCTCCCCATCGTCGGTGTTGAGCCCGAGCGCCTTCCACACCGCCGGGGACCCATCCACGATGTTGTTGGCGCACGGGGGCTCGAAGTTGTGCTCATCGTCGCAGCCGTGGAGAGAGTCGCACTCGTCTACGACCATGGCCGTCACGGACCTGCCGTTGCTCGCCTTGATCACGATGCTATTCTGGCACCGCTTCCCTTTGTTGAACCACCCGTGGACAGCGCCACCACCTTCACGTCGTCGTCGAAGAACGTGCCGGTGCAGCTGGACGCGCCGCCGCCGTCTCCGCCCTTCGCGAAGCTGTTGAGCGTCAGCGTGGCGCGGGTGCGGGTCGTCACCGGCGGGGAGCACGCGAACGTCGTGTAGCCCTTCCCGTCCTCGCAGCACACGGAGTCGTTATCAGGGTTGCAGCTGCCGGACTTGCCGCGGATGGAGCCGTTGGGCTGGCAGGACTGGAGGAGCGCGCGGTGGGGGAAGGTGGCAAGGGCTACAGGAAGGATGGCCGCGAGCGCCAAGGAGAGACGAGCTATCGTTCTGCTAGCCATGCTCACTAGCTGTTTGATCAGTTTGGGTGTGTGGTCTGTTTAGCTACTGCTACTCTTATCTTTCTCAGTGCTGCTAACCACACTGGATAGTGGAGAGGCTGTGCTTTTGTGATTCTGTGCTGTAGGCAGGCATGTCCTTATATAGCCGTGAGAAACGAAAATGTGAAAGATGGCTTGGGGTTTTGGTAGTTGGTTAGTTAACCGTCCAGTTGGGAACATTTGCTGTCTGTCTCCCCGTTCGGTTAAACTCTATGTTGGTGCTTAGATTCTACCTCAAGGTCGAATAAAGATGTGATTTCATCCAAAATCATCAACGTTACTTCAGTGACCCCACCACCCTGGATGACATCTTTACCTGTCCGGACAGAGTAGCGGCTAGACCATTTTCATGCCTAAAACGATGCCGTTCGACCGTCGCATTGGAATAAAACCTTCTAAGCGCATGTTTGGGATTGTTCCACGAACTCTGCTCCACAAATTTCATCGTGGAGCAGCTCCACAAAAACTTGGAGTTTCTGAACCATCTCTTTATGTGCTCTCATAACTCTACCTTTTTCCTAGAGCAAAGTTTGTGAAGTTGTATCTATTTGGCTAAAAAACATGGAACGGAGGAGTCCCAAACAGGCTCTAAGTCTATCTCCATGTCTCTTGTAATTTCGTGTTCTTCCTCTCCCATCTCACAACAACTAGTACACAAACAACAATGTAACTGACTAATAAATTGATTTTCACTAGTGCTTTTGACCACCAGTATGAAAGGGCTAGAGCATTTTCACTAGCCTTTTACACTAGCATCAAAATCACCATCAGTAAAATAATATTTGTTTTCACTAAAGATTTGATTAAATCCACCGCCAGTATAAATGGACCTTCACTATTGCTGTTTAGCGTAAAATCAATTCTAAAAACAGTGTGAGAAAATAGGAAATAAATTTCACGTCCATGCCACGCCACCACATAACCCCATGGCCAGGTAAGCCGTAAGCCATACGAATCACGTCCATGCCACGCCACCACATAACCCCATGGCCAGGTAAGCCATACGAATTTTTCTACAAAAATGCACACACTTATGTAACTGTTTTCAGGATCCAAACCACAACCTCCTTCATATGGGAGTCTTTTTTATTACCATCTCACTAGCTACACAACTGTGTTGTCAATAACAACATGAGGACAATTCCTTTTGAATTTCAGTGATGATTTTCTTTAGGTCTCTTGTGTATAGAAATCATCCTCGGAAATCATCTTTTTAAAATATCCTGACAAAGTTGTACAATATTTGGGCACCTAAATGCTCCTAAATGAAAATATTATCAACTACAAAGTTGTAGACCTCTCATCAAGTTCTATAATTTTAGTATAAAAAATGGCTTCATCCGATTACATATGAAGAATTTGTAAACTTTATATATATATGTGTTGTCTAGAAACGGATTTATATATAGTGGTAGCCGCTTATAACAACCACCTCTAAAAGTGAATTTCTAGTAGTGACACGACTAAGGTAACCATTTTAGAAATAGACCTATTTTTGTTGGTGGTTTTCTTAAGGATCCTCATGTAGGAATGCCCATTTGTAGTGGCAGTTGCTACATGTGGATGCTTAAAAATAGGCTGGCTCTGCCCCTACCATGTAATAATTTAAGTGTGGTCTGACTTTATCTCTTAAGAGGATAAAGTTAGATGATACTTTCCATTATCTAAAAAATGGTAAGAAGAAGGCGTGCACACAATTGTCCGACCAAATCTAAAGGTACAAAACTCGACATATTTTGCTAATGATATCTATCAGCCTATATCTAGCTAAGTTTGAAATTTTGATCCTTAAGGTAGGCATTGGAAGGTTTGGCATTTTTTTCTTCTTTTGGCTCAAATTTGTGTATGTTGTTCTTTGTAACTTTCTTTGTCTAATGGCATTTTGCTGTTCTAAGCGTTGGTCCATTTGGACACTTGTGCTTGTATGAGGTGTCCAACTTTTTGCGTGCCCAAGAAAGGACCGTACCAAAACTTAATACCAACTTAAATTTAATGCCAATTTACACTTGTGCAGTGATGGAGTTGTGCTCGATGTTATTCAATGTTCAAGTAATTAGATAGATGTTTGTTAGTTTCATTGTTGTGCATCTCATTAGTTTTTTTTTCTGTTTTATGAACGGGTAACCTATACTATATCGTCCCTCTCTGAACTCTACTGCCTTCATTCCATCGTGGCCACTTCTTTATCATTCAACCTATATCCCCTTTTTCAATTAAAATAAAGAGCCAAGTTTGTCACAAATTCAAAGCGGATAATAGTTGATGTGGGTCATAAATCAAGGTATAACTGAGTTTTATGCTAGTCCCTCCGTCTCAAATTATAAGTCATTATAACTTTTTGGAGAGTCAAAGCATCTCAAGTTTGACCAAATTATTTATAGAGATAATTACAAAGATTTAAGACATTAAATATGTATATATGAAAATATAATTAATAAAGAATATAATGATACTTATTTTGTATCATAAATGTTATTATTTTATTATATAAATTTAGTCAAAGTTGAAATACTTTGACTCTCCAAGAAAGTTGCAATGACTTATAATGGGACAGAGGGAGTATTAGTTTATGGGCACACAAATATTTTTTCTCCTATTATAATACCAGGACATATTTGCTAGATTCTATGATCAGACAGAGAAGACGTATTGTGCCCATGATTAGTATGTAGTAGGTCCAGCCAAAAGTTATAACTTCCTCATCCAAAAAAGGCGCCAATTTTGACGGCACAACATATTTTTCAGGTCAAGTGGAGGCCCAAAGGCCGTAGTAGAGGCCCTGCTCACGTGATTAGCTAGCATGAGATCGAAGAACTTTGACTAGGTAAACGATGATCCAACAAGTATGGCCTGTGTGTGAGACAAGAACCGAAGATATGTACCCTCACGAGACGTTGGAGCTGATCTCACCGGGGGCCCATGTACGAGACTGAATCCTAGATAATGGTGTCGTGCAGCGAATCAGCGACGTGGGGGGAACGACCGAGCGAGCTTTATGCCGGGCGGCTGGCTGCCCAGTCCACCCAGGCAGGCGGCGGTTTTGCAATCTAGTGCAGAGTGCAGACGATGCTCTACTCTCCCGACATGTTTACCGTGCAGTGCATGTATATGTGTTTCATACCTGTCCACGTGGATACATTACACTACACTATATATATATCCCGGCCGTCAGGCGACTTTTACATTACACTATATAGACGCTTCATGTAAAACAAGCGAGCAGTAGTGAGAATGGAACGACGAAGGCCGGCCGGGCGTTTGCAGTGCCGGAAACCTTGCTCCAGTTGATCAATGCCGGTCGGCTTTATAAGACATTTTCCTTTTTTTTTTTAGATATATAGTACTCCCTCCTTTCCAAATTATAATCCATTTAACTTTGTTACCCCAAGTTTGATCACTCGTCTTATTCAAAAACTTTGTGCAAACATAGTCAAATTTAAGTTATTTTTGAAGAACTTTTGTTAATAAAGCAAGACACACCAAAAGAAATGATATTTTGAACAAATGTTTGAATAAGACGAGTGGTCAAAATCAAGGTCAAAAAGTCAAAAGAATTATAATTTAAAACGGATTTAGTATTTGCTATGCATTTAAATATACACTATATTTAGATCAGAAATGCTTCCCGTAGGGTGTCCGTCCGCCCGGACGTCGCCTTCCCGGGCCTACGGATGCTCCCGTTGGTGGGCCACGACACCCAATGGTCCAACACTCGTATTCGCTCGTCCACACGCCCCCAATAGAATCCGCTCGTCCAGCCTGCCACTTCCGTAGTGCTGCGACCACGCTCCACCACGACTGCGCCGTGACGGCCTTTCTGTACCTATGAATAGAGAAGTATTCATGGACAAATTCATCCATCTGTACCTCCCTGTTGATCTTTGTAATGAAAGCCAAAGCATGGCTGCATGGTTTTCTAGTCACTTGCCAAGCCCGACAGGTACAAGTCTTTTCCTCCAATTTGATTGCATGCCGGGGGGAGGGGTCGTGGCGGAGCCTGGCGCAGGCCGCGCGACGCCCAACTACCGTGGGCGCGAGCTGGGGGAGCGGGGCGGAGGGAGGAGGAGGGCGACTGGAGCCGCGCCACCGCCGGGAGGACTTCGCCACTAGTAGCCGCCCCAAACCCTAACATGATGAGTCGCGATTCGTTCCTCTCGTTCGGGAACAGGACAAGCGAGTGAGAAATGAGAAAGGGAAGTTTTGAGGGGTATCATTGTCTTTTCATGTAGGTGCCTTTTTTTTTTTTTTTTGCCATTTAATCCATCCATTTCAAACGGTGTTACAGAGTAGGGGCAAACATTCGCTTCGTTTGAAAATAACGAGAGTAAAATCACAAAATTAAAAAAGAGGGGTAAAATCACCATTAGAGTATGGAGCAGGGTAGAAACATCAAATTCCCTTTACTTTATATATTCCGTTTTTATTGTGTATATGCAATTCCGCATAAGGGTTCGTCGCTATTTTGTTTCATATTCCTTTTTTTGCGCCCGCAAGTCAAATCTGACTTTTAGACTTCTTTATTATGCCCGCTGCTTCCATTTTTTCTTCACTCCCGTCGCTCCATTATGTCCGCTGCTTAATAATAAATAAGTATTTTCACCACTAAGGGCAAGCACATTGCTACACGTCAGCGGTATCATACTCCGTCTCATGCAGTGTCATGTAGGATCTTTGCTGATGTGGAGGAAAGAGAGAGGGAAGAGAAAAAGAAATCGTTATTTCACGAAACAATAACCTCATGAGCTAAAATTTAGAGCTATGAGACAACTTATATTACATTATTGTACAAGTGACATTCCTTTGTTACACATATTAAGGACTCTAGAATTACTACGAGACAACTTAAAAGACAATCCATTGTATTTGTTACATCTTAAATCATCTCATAATTACGTGGCACTGCATGAGACTCTCTCTATGAGACAACACCAATACACTTACCCTAATTTGTTAGGAATAGA